AAGGATTATAATTAATTTTTGAGTATTTCTTTAATCAGAAAATTAAATTGAGTCTCTTGGGTTATTTTCAAAATCTAGGGAAATTATAAAATGTAAGTGATTATCTGTCTTATGTATGATACAAAGTACACCTTAATTGGCTTAAAATATGTAACTTTGAAAGAAATGAAAGTATAAGAATATGTATACCCAGGAGATTAAAATATTTTCTTTAGAGCACTTTATAAATAGATTAAATACTCACACAGTTGAAAAGAATGAATTATTTTAGTTAAAAGAAATCATCTTTAAACTCTATGAGTTAACCTTAATAGAGAAGTATGTGGTTTATCAATTGGTACCAAAATTGAAACAGAATAGTCTGAATTTAAAATAAACAAGAGTTCATAGAGTTCCCAAATAGTAACCAGTATTGAAAGTGTGCTTCTTTCTCAATGTCAGAAAGATAATTTTCCTTCCATTGATACACACAATACCTTCCATTTTTTATAAAAACATTTCTCAGGACTTTTAATAAAGAAACTGTTATTTGTGTTTATTTTAATTCTGTCTTAACCATGAGTACATAACCTTCATATCAAGAACGGATTGAACACATATTCTTTAAATTATGCTTTTATAGCTTTCTCAATATATCCACTAGAAAATATCTTTGAAAATATAACCTAAGTCATAATATGATTTATAAAATAAGAAATTAGAATTTCAAGTTCATATATGGACATAACTAAGGCAGATACTGAAATATTGTTCTTTAAAATTTTTATTTATCCATTTTTATTTTAAAGTCAGAGTGACAGAGGAGAGACAAAAACTGAGGCAGAAATATCTCCAATTCACTGGTTCTGCAGCAACCAGGTGTGGGCCAGGCCAAATCATAAGCCAGAAACTCAATCCTGTGCACCCAGATCCTGTTGCTTCCCTTGGTATGCATTAGCAGGAAGTTGTACTGAGAGGAAAGTAGAGACTTGAACCCATTACTAAGAAATCGAAAGCAGGCATCCAAAGTGATGTCTTAAATATGTGTCTAATGTCCACCACAAAAGAGTCGTGTGATGCAAAGCCTGTACTAGAAACCAGGCCCTTGTCTTTGGGATGGGGGTTTACCAAGTATCATCTTACTTCTGTGCCAAATGCCTTCCATGAAATATCCTTTAACTGAGACTTTGTCTCTAAATTCCTTCTGTGTATTAAAACAATTTTATGTATATTATTTTGTTTTTTTAATTTGTTTTTAATTTTATAGACAAAACTTTATTTTTTTGACTTTATATCATATTGAAAGACTTGATGTTTGGCCTAATATATGACCTATCCTAGAAAATGTTCCATGTGGTGATGAGAATAACATGTATTTGGTAGTGGGATGAAAGGATGAAATATCCTTTAATTTTCTATTAGTCCATTTGCTCGATTATCTTGCTCAAATCTGACATGTCATTGCTGATTTTCTGCTTAGACAATCTGTCCATTAATGACAGTGGAATGTTGACATCTTCCACTATTGTTGTGTTGTAGTGTATCTCTCCCTTTAAGTCTCAAAGAATTTACTGAATATATCTGGGTGGTCTTCTGTTGGGTGCTCATTATTTATGGTTATTATATCATATTGGTGAATTGGAACTTTTATCAATATATCGCGCTCTTGTCTCTTTTGAAAGTTTTTGATTTAGAGTATTTTATCTAATCTGAGTATAGCTAGTCCTGCTCATTTTTGGATTCCATTTATTTCTTTTCCAGTCCTTCACTTTCCATCTGTGTGTATCATTATTCATGGAGCAGCATATAGTTGGACCTTGGGTTTTTTTATGCATTTAGCCAAGCTAAATCCTTTGGATGGGTTATTTAATCCATTTATATTCAGGGTTGGTGTTGATAGATAAGAACCAACACTTGTCATTTTGCTGATTGTTCATTGATTATATATGTTCTGTTAGTGAATTTAGTAATATGTATCCATGATGCATACTTCTACTGTAAGATTGCCTTTAGATTTTCCTGTAAGACTGGATTGGTGAGTTTTCTAAGAATTTGCTTATCTTGGGAATACCTTAATTCTACCTCATTTCTAAAATACAGATGCGGGTGTCAGCGCTGTGGCACAGTAGGCTAAGCCTCTGCCTGCAGTACCAGTATACCATGTGGGCACTGATTCAAGTCTCTGCTGCTCCTCTTCCAATCCAGTTCTTTGTTATGGCCTGGGAAAGCAATGGAAGATGGCCCAAGTCCCTGGAAACCCCCTACCCACGTGAGAGACCCAGAGGAAGCTCCTGGTTCTTGGTTTCAAATTGGCCCAGCTCTGGCCACTGTGGCATTTTAGGGAGTGAAACAGTGGGTAAAAGATATTTCTCTCTGTCTCTTCCTTTCTCTGTCTAAAACTCTACGTTTCAAATAAATAAATACATCTTATTTAGCAAGTATGGATTCACTGGATATAATATTCTTGGTTGAAAGTTCTTTTTCTTCTAAGATTAAATATATCATCCTATAATCTTCTGACCTGACCAGTTTGGGCTGAGATGCCTTTTGTCAGTCAGATTAGATTTCTTTTATATGCATTGGAATGCTTTTCTCTTACTGTCTTTAGTATTTACTCCTCGTTCTTTACTTTTGACAATTTGTCTACAATATGTCTTGGAGAAGATCTACTTTAATTGAATATGTTAGGGTCCTTTGAATTTCCTGTAACTAGTGTTCATGTCTCTTTCAAGGCTTGGGAAATTTGCAACCATTATGTACTTTAATAGATTCTCAATTTGCTTAATCATATCCTGCATTTCACGTAGTTTTTCTTCATTCCTTCTAATTCTTTTCCTTTATTTTTGTGTGATTTGGTTATTTCAAAAGTCTCATACCCCAGATCAGAAATTCTGACCTTTGCTTGATCTATTCTCAATTTGATTCTCTTTTCATCTCCAAAACTTCTTTGGTTTTTCTTATTGATTCTTAAATCCTTAATTACTGTTTCATGGTACCAATTTTTCATCATTTCTTTCACTTATCTGTGTTCCCCTGAATTCTATAGACTTTCATTGCAATCATTTTGAATTCCATTTCTGATGTGTAGAAGGTGCAGAGGAAACATCCTCAAGGTGTGTTCTCAGATTTTTTTATGAATTGCTAGCCCCAGAAAGCAAGGAGAACCTTTCTGGATCACTGATGAGTAAGTGCATCTCCTGCACTTGGGCCCAGAACTCCCCCAGCGCCAGGGTACATGGCATCTGCCCTCTACAATGGAAAGTGTCATGGCTCTGGTCACTTTGGTAGCAGCAGGACTGTTTGCTATCCAGATTTGAAAGAAAGTTCAGTAGCAACTTCCAGACCAAACTGAATCTGGCACTTTGGGAGGGGGGTTGAGTGAAGAAATTTGGTTTTCTTTTTGGTGCAATTGGATCACTCAGATGCCATTCAGCTTCCTAGGCTGCACTTAAAGTCCGTGGGGATAATTCTTCTGTAGTTAGGGCGAACAATTGCAGGAGCCACGACACTTTCTTCCTACTTTATCTTGACAAGATGGCATTTCTCAACTGTGAGTCAGCTGCATAGATGCAGCTGTACTTAAATGGACAAAATAACTTCAAAGAAGAATTATTTTCAATAATTTTTATCAGGGACTGCTGTTGTGGCACACATGATTATGCCACTGGTTGCAATGTGAGCATCTCATATCTAAGCGCATATTTGAGCCCTGGCTACTCTGCTTCTCATCCAGATTCCTGAAAATGTGCCTGGGAAGGCAAAAGAAGATGACACAATAACTCTGACCCCACTCATGTGGGAATTCAGGGTGAATGTCTTGGCTCTTTGCTTTAGTGTGGCCCAGACGTAACTATTGTGAACCAGCAAATGGAAGATCTCTCTCTCTCTCTCTCTCTCTCATTTCTATCTCTATCTCTATCTCTATCTCTATCGCTATCTCTGTCTCTGTCTCTTCCTCTCTTTGTCACTCTGTGTTCAAAAAATAAGTAAATAATTGTTCAACTAATAAATGTGTCATATTGAATAGAAAAAAAACAAATGGAATAATTAGGTATTATTGAAAAATAAAAACTGAATGTGATATATAACATTTCAATATCCTTTGAAAATGCACTTTTACATAAATTCTTACTATGAGAAGTCATTTATATTTGATTTTTACAGTCAGCTATTAGCTTCACAAATTATCCTTTACAGGAAGTTCATATCTGTCCTCTGACTTCCTCCACGTTCCGCATGAACCCTCAGATCTCTCTTTGGTTCCATTGAGGTAGCAAAAAGGAATAGACCATAAAAATAAAGCTATATGTTGTTATCAGTGCTAAAAATTTCAGTATGCAGGAGATGTTGTAAATTACTTTGTTAATTGATTTTAGGAAAAATCTTCATTTAGAATCTTATCTTGATATTCTTTTTTTTTTTTATTTATTTCCGTCCCTCCCACCCACAACCCTCCCCTTTCCCACTCCCTCTCCCCTTCCATTCACATCAAGATTCATTTTCGATTATCTTAATATACAGAAGATCAGCTTAGTATACATTAAGTAAGGATTTCAACAGTTTGCTCCCACACAGAAACATAAAGTGAAAAATAATAGATGATTTTTTTTTAAATGATGATGAAATCAGATCAGACCTATTGTCATGTTTAATCCCAGTGAGAGTCAAGTTGGGAGTTGATAGTTTCTTTTCTTTTCTTTTTTTTTTTTTTTTTTTTTTTTTTTTTTTTACAGAGGATCAGTTTAGTATGCATTAAGTAAAGATTTCAACAGTTTGCACCCCCATAGAGACACAAAGTGAAATATATTGTTTGAGTACTCGTTATAGCATTAAATCTCAATGCACAGCACATTAAGGACAGAGATCCTACATGAGGAGTAAGTGCACAGTGACTCCTGTTGTTGACTTTACCAATTGACACTCCTGTCTATGGCATCAGTAATCTCCCTATGCTCCAGTCATGAGTTTCCAAGGCTATGGAAGCCTTCTGAGTTCTCCGATTCTTATCTTGTTTAGACAAGGTCATAGTCAAAGTGGAGGTTCTCTCCTCCCTTCAGAGAAAGGTACCTCCCTCTTTGAAGACCTGTTCTTTCCACTGAGATCTCACTCACAGAGATCTTTTGCCAGAGTGTCTTGGCTTTCCATGCCTGAAATACTCTCATGGGCTTTTCAGCCAGATCCGAATGCCTTTAGGGCTGATTCTGAGGCCAGAGTGCTATTTAGGACATCTGCCATTCTATGAGTCTGCTGAGTATCTCACTTCCCATGTTGGATCACTCTCCCCTTTATTTATTCTATCGGTTAGTGTTAGCAGGTACTAGACTTGCTTATGTGCTCCCTTTGACTCTTAGTCCTTTCATTATGATCAATTGTGAACTGAAATTGATCACTTGGACTAGTGAGATGGCATTGGTACATGCCACCTTGATGGGATTAAATTGGAGTCCCCTGGTATGTTTCTAACTCTACCATTTGGGGCAAGTCAGCTTGAGCATGTCCCAAATTATATATCTCTTCCCTCTCTTATTCCTACTCTTATGTTTAACAGGGATCACATTTCAGTTAAATTTCAACACTTAAGAATAACTGTGTATTAATTACAGAATTAAACCAGTCATATTAAGTAGAACAGACAAAAAAACTACTAAGAGGGATAATGTATTAAGTTGTTCATTAACAGTCAGGGCTATGCTGATCAAGTCACCGTTTCCCATAGTGTCCATTCCACTTCAACAGGTTTCCTTTTTGGTGTTCAGTCAGTTGTCACCGATCAGGGAGAACATATGGTATTTGTCCCTTTGGGACTGGCTTATTTCACTCAGCATGATTTGTTCCAGATTCCTCCATTTTGTTGCAAATGACTGGATTTCGTTGTTTCTTACTGCGGTATAGTATTCTAAAGAGTACATATCCCATAATTTCTTTATCCAGTCTACCGTTGATGGGCATTTAGGTTGGTTCCAGGTCTTAGCTATTGTGAATTGAGCTGCAATAAACATTAGGCTGCAGATCGCTTTTTTGTTTGCCAATTTAAATTCCTTTGGGTAAATTCCAAGGAGTGGGATGGCTGGGTCGAACGGTAGGGTTATCTTCAGGTTTCTGAGGGATCTCCAGACTGACTTCCATAGTGGCTTGACCAATTTGCATTCCCACCAACAGTGGGTTAGTGTCCCTTTTTCCCCACATCCTCGCCAGCATCTGTTGTTGGTAGATTTCTGCATGTGAGCCATTCTAACTGGGGTGAGGTGAAACCTCATTGTGGTTTTGATTTGCATTTCCCTGATTGCTAATGACCTTGAACATTTTTTCATGTGCCTGTTGGCCATTTGGATTTCCTCTTTTGAAAAATGTCTATTGAGGTCCTTGGCCCATCTCTTAAGTGGGTTGTTGGTTTTGTTTTTGTGGAGTTTCTTGATCTCCTTGTAGATTCTGGTTATTAACCCTTTATCTGTTGCATAGTTTGCAAATATTTTTTCCCATTCTGTCGGTTGTCTCTTCACTCTCCTGACTGTTATCTTGATATTCTTAAAAAGTATGTTCTCTCTTCCTTTCTTCTGTCTTCTATAGATATAGGTCATAAGGCAAGCTGCTGTCTACCAGATGAGGCTCCTGTCTCCCATGTAGGATTCATGTTTGTCTCATTCACATAAAAGGATATGTGTCTTTGAGGTGTATAACCATACCCATTATATCCAATATCAGTGATGTGAAAGGTGGCAACAAGGCTCCAGAATTTGCATTTTCATGCAGTTCTCCAAGATAATCTTTTTTTTTTCCCTTTTATTCTGGAATAAAATTTCTAGGAGGTTTTGGAATGTAGACAAGAAAGAAATATTCCAGGATTTATCAACTCTCCAAAAATCCATGTAAGATCATTGAATCTAACACAGTAAGTACAAGACCTAATACAAATTTGGGCCTGAGTAGAACTCCAAATGTAGAAAAGGGATATTTTCATTTGAACATATTTCGTCACTATAGTATTATGAATGTGGCGCGTGTGTGTACTTGCACATGTGTTGAAATCGTGATTGTAATGAGATTTTAAAATGAGGTGAAAGTTGAGAAATTGGGAATCTAGGCATTTTCATTTAGACACTATGCCTACACTTAACTGAGAGCTTTAAGAATTTGCTTATGAGCACATGTTACGAATTTAAATAGATGGGTTGTACTGACTCATATACACTATTCTTTTTCTGCTTTTCTAATATGGTTTTTCAGCCAATATGATACAATAGGGACACAAAGTTCAAGCATAGAGATTAATTGAACAAGGCTATTCAATTAGAACAGTAATCAAAATGAGTTGTCAGACATTATTAGTATTATCTTGCATAATCAAAAGTACTAGCAACAGAAAAATTAGGAAGACTTACTAGCTATGTATTTTATGTTTATATGTTTGTGTGTGTGGGGGGGGGGTTGTGTGTGTATTTGTATCTGTGCTGATGATGATGCTGTTAGCATGGCTCCCTTTATGTTAGTTGAATCAAAATGGTTGTACCTAATTGCTCTAAATCTCCTTTAGTACAAATGCCAGAAGGGTTACTATTAAGTGTAAATCATTTCCTGGGATAGATCCCAGGAAAACGTCTAACAGTTAAATTACTAAATATGCAAATATGCAAGTTGCTCAATCTTCTTGGTCTCTCTCCCTCTGACTCTGTCTCTCTCTTACTTTCAGTTTCTCCTCTCTCTTTCAATCAACATTTTTTTTTTTTAAATATTTTTTTTTGAGAGGTAGAGTTATAGACAGTGAGAGGGAGAAACAGAGAGAAAGTTTTTTATCTGCTGGCTCACTCCCCAAATGGTCACAACAGCAGGAACTGAGCCAATCCTAGGCCAGGAGCCAGGAGCGTCTTCCACAGGTCTCCCATACAGGTGCAGGGGCCCAAGTGCTTGGGCCATCTTCTATGCTTTACCAGGCCATAGCATAGAGCTGGATCAGAAGAGGAGCAGCTTGGACTAGAACTGGCACCTATTTGGGATGTCAAGGCCCTAGGCAGAGGATTAACCTACTCAATAAACTTTTAAAAACAAAAATAAAATTATATGCTAAGTATAATGCATATGTGTTCATTGTAAACACACATACATGGAGTTTTTATTTCTACTATTGATGTAAAGCAGAAATTAAAATATGCAGGCACACGCATACATGCTTATCCATAAAGTAAAACACCAAATAGAAACATAAATGGACATAAGATTTTCAGAGTGTAAGTTAGTGCTTATATGTCAGGAGACAAGACTTTTCAGTTCTTGGACAACACTTTAGTTATTTTAAATCTTCATATATGATTCAAAAAAGTTAATAGAAAAATGTAACAAAGGGCTTTTTTCACTTTAATCACTTTAATTAAATAACTTTGTATTATGTTAGTTTTTATATAAGTACATATTAGTTTGTAATTTAATAAAAGAAATTATAAAATCTAGATATTAACTGAGACAAAATTAACAAAAGTGCAAACTACTAAATAACAGAAGTCATCTAATATATCTTTTGTCATCAGATAATTTGTTGTGGTCAGTATTATACTGTGATTTAAGAATGACCTTGAGTGATTATTTTCACATACCATGGCCAATTATCCTTTGAGAAATTGTCCTTAGGCAGGCAATCTTCCCAATTCAGATTACCAATGAATGATGCTTTGGCAGAAAAATTGCCAATAATGGCATTTAAGTTTTGGGAAATTATCATGTCAGTTAATGAAGGCTTACAGTATGTAACAGTTAGACAACTGTCAAATTGGTTCCAGGCCTTGAGGGATCTGAATGTTCATTAGCAGGAGGGTCATATATTAACACAAACTCAGTCATTCATTTCAGGACATTGAATTAGGTTGATAGCAAAGAGAAAATCCCTCTTATTAAAGAAACCATGGTGTTCAAGGTCATGTGAATGTGACTAGCCCATAGCTGCCTAAATCATTTTGCCAATGACTGAATTTGAAAATGGTTTAAAGCTTTGAGAGATGTGAATTACTCTTCAAAAGTTCATAAAACTGACTTTAAACTTTTAGAAAACTGAGAAAATTAACATATTTGAGTCATCCTTCCATATTCCAGAAAACAAATGGAAAGCCATGAGAAGTATGGTTTAAAATACGCTCAATTCAAGAATCAGACAGGCATGTGCCTATTAGGATTTAGAATGAATGTATGCCTTTTGTTGCATTGCTAATAATGGTAACTTTATGAAAATCCTATTTTCTCAGAGTTGGCATTCATAAAATAATGTCTAAACAATTCATTTGAGGTGAAAAAAAATTTTCACACTTTTTTTTTTGTAAAGCTGTATTGTTCTGCATACATTTCTATGGAATTACATCTTCTAAGGGTACACTTTAAAAACTTGCCATAGCATTCAGATCTGGCTAAAAAGCCCATGAGAGTATTTCAGGCATGGAAAGCCAGGACACTGTGGCAAAACTGACCTAAGTGAAAGATCTGTGAGTGAGATCCCGGTGGAAAGAATGGGCCATCAAAGAAGGAAGTACTTTCTATGTAGGTAGTAGAGAACTTCCATTTTGACTATGGCTCTGTCTAAATAAGGTTGGAGTTTGTGAATTCAAGAGGCTTCCATAGCCTTGGCAGCTCATGACAAAAGCCTCGGATGATTACTACACTTGATCTTAGCCAAAAGGCCGAGAAGCTCGGATGATTACTGATGTTATAAATAAGAGAGTCAGGCAGGGGCCGCGGCTCACTAGGCTAATCCTCAGCCGTGCGGCGCCGGCACACCAGGTTCTAGTCCCGGTCGGGGCGCCGGATTCTGTCCCGGTTGCCCCTCTTCCAGGCCAGCTCTCTGCTGTGGCCCGGGAGTGCAGTGGAGGATGGCCCAAGTCCTTGGGCCCTGCACCCCATGGGAGACCAGGAGAAGCACCTGGCTCCTGGTTTCGGATCAGCGTGGTGCGCCGGCCGTGTTGGCCATTGGAGGGTGAACCAATGGCAAAGGAAGACCTTTCTCTCTGTCTCTCTCTCTCACTGTCCACTCTGCCTGTCAAAAATAAATAAATAAATAAATAAGAGAGTCAATTGTTGAATCAACAACAGGAGTC